AAAAGAAAAGAAAAGAAAAGGAGTTTCCAGATTACGTGAGTGAGATGCTCAAAGTTAAAAGTTGAGAGGCACTAGTTGTTTAATTACCACATTGATTCCGTGAGTGAAATGCTCGCCAAGGAAACTTATAAATAGCAGTGAGTGAGTGAGTGAGATGCTCTGTGAGTGTGAGTGTTTGCAACAAAACAGAGAGAAAAACTTCACTTGAAACTTGATTTCTCTTCTACTCTCTCTTTTCTTTTGTTCGTTAATTAGCAGCATTCTTGTGTTGGTTAATTAGCAATGGAAGAGTCTCTTGTGCCGTTAGGTTTTCGTTTCAGCCCCTCCGATGAAGAGATTGTGGATTCCTTTCTCTACCCGTTTTTGGTAGAGAGCAAGCCCTTCATGTCGCTATACAACAATTTCATCCATTCCTGCAATCTCTTCGGCAACAACACAGAGCCTTCCGAGATTTGGAAAAAATACGGAGGGCCGCAACTCGTTGATACAGACTTGTACTTCATCTCCAAGCTCAACAAGTTAACCCCCAAGCGGATGGATCGAAGGATTGGCAACGGGGGTACTTGGAGCGAAACTGAATCCTCCAAATTGGTTCATGAAAAGGTCTCTGGAAATCCCAACCCAAACCCCATTGGCCGAAAGAGAAAGTTTCGCTACGAGAATAAAGGTTCCGAGGATCACACAGGGTGGCTACTAGATGAATATAGTCTTTTCGATGGTCCCAAGAATGACTACAATCAACGTAGTTACGATTTTGATTTCGTCATTTGTCGGATGAGGAAGAACGATAGGGTTGGGATCAAGGCAACAAATCTAAAGCGTGGATCACAAGATACAGAAGAAAAGAAGATGAACACAAACAAAAAGATGAAAAAAGATGATCAAATGGGATCAACAGAATCATCATCTCAACAAGGCTGCTCTTCTAGTCCAATTGGTGGTGATCTTGTGGAATTTGATCCGATTGATCTGACAATCTTTGAGGAAAATACGATGGCCGACATGGAACAACTACTTGGTGAAGCTTGGAGCCCAAGTAATTTTGAGGATGCAGTCTCTTATGATGTTGATCCGATTGGTGAAACCCAAATTAACTTTGAGAATGAGGAAAATACGATGGCCAACATGGAACAACTACTTGGTGAAGCTTGGAGCCCAAGTAACTTTGAGAATGTGGTCTCTCATGATGTTGATCCGATTGGTGAAACCCAAAGTAGCCAATTGTCTAACTGGTCCCAAGCGATATTAAATCAGCTCCTGGTTG